GCAGTACCTCCGACTTTGAGGATGTGGCTTGCGATCGGCCAACTTCTAGATTATGTATCTCTCGCAGTCGCACAGTCTCCAGTATTTCGCTGATGGCCGCCTCATCCTTAAAGATGGGGTTTGTTACCCTTTGAAGCCTATAGCCTGCTTGGTAATCCTCCTCCTCATTCTTCTCCCTCGTCCTCCCTCCTCCCTCCTCCCCCCTCCTCCTCCCTTCTCCTCCCTCCTCCTCCTCCTCCTCCTCCTCCTCCTTCTCCTCTTCCTCCTCCTCCTCCTCCTCCTCCTCCTTTCCCCCCCTGGTCGGAGTGGCTGCGGAAGGTACCGACCTGGCAGGCGGATGGGTAAGTGCAGATGTTTCTAGTCTGCCTCTCTCCCTCGGCGAACGTCGGCTTGACGCCTCCTTGCGCTGTCGCAACACGACCCCGCCCTCCTCGTCTTTCTGCTTCCGAGAGCTTGCGGCAGCCTCGACATATGTAACTGGCTGGGTTTGCAGAGTGCCGCCGCTGGGAGCCCGCCAGCGTGTCACTCCGTCGTTCTTGTCCGCAGGCCTGGTGTTTCCACAACTGTAACTCGCCGATGGCTTCTCCACGGCGGCGTGTCATTGATACTGAGTGTGCTGCCCCAGTTTCTCCTCCTGGATAACACCGCGAACGGGCCCCGATGCTGACCAGGTGAGCATCCTCGCTCCCAGCCGTCCCGACGACATGTTTGTCCCATCTGCGCCCCAGATGTCCCGACCGAGGACCCTAGGCTTCTCTTTCCGGTTCCCCCCGCCTAGCCTCGCTCCCAGCCGTCCGACGGCATGTTTTGTCCGCCTGCGCCCCAGATGTTCCGACCCCCGTGCCCGGGGTCAGTTTCTCGCCCACGATCCGCTTCCGATGGCGTCAGGGCCGAAGAACACGTCCCCGAGGGCCGTCTTGGTGGGCCCCTGGCCCGTCCGACGCCGTCGGAAGCCGTTCGGGGGCCCCTCTGGGCCGATTTGGGACCCTCTTGGAATGCTCCAGCGAAGTCTTGGAGGCCATCTTTGGCGTCTTAAAAGCCTCCTGGCACGTCTTGGGGGCTCCTTGGGGCCGTCTTGGGGGCCTGTTGGGTCGTTCTTGGGCCGTCTTGGAGGCCTCTTGGGCGATGTTTGGGCGCTCTTTGGGGGCTCTTGGGCCGTCTCGGGCCGTCGGATGGCCGAAAAGAAGCACATGTGAAAGTCCTTCAACAGCGTAAGGAACACCAATGCTTGTGGCTTCTTCTGGCCTTCCTGGAGGCCCTCTTGGAGGCCTCTTGGCTCGTCTTGGGCCGTCTTAGGGAATACCGAGGCCAGCTTAGGGCGTTTTGGATGCATCTTCGGCCGTCTTGGAGGCATCTTGGGGTCATCTTAGCCGTCTTGGAGGCTATCGTGGTCGCCTTGCAGGCCTCTTGGGGCCCTCTGGGGGCCGTCTTGGGGGCCTCTTGGGCCGTCAAGGAGCCCTCTTGGAGGCTTCGGGCGATCTTGGGGCGATCTTAGGGGCCTTTTGGGCCGTCATGATCCGTCGGAAGGCCGAGAAGATGCAAAGTCCAAAATCGCTCAAAATCTAAGAAAAATCAATGATGTTGGCCGCTTGAGGCCATCCTGGAGGACCTCTTGGAGGCCTCTTGGGCCGTCTTGGAGGCGTCTTGGAGGCTTCTTGGGCGAACTTGGGTTTATCTTGGACTCTCTTAGGCCGTCTTGGACCATCTTCGGCGGACTTGGAGGCCACCTGGGACCATCTTCGGCGGACTTGGAGGCCATCTGGGACCATCTTGGAGGCCATTCTGGGCCAACGTGGCCATCTTGGAGGCCATCTTCAGCCGTCTTGGAGGATTTTTCCGGAAACTGAGCTCCTGCATGGAAGATCGTCCCGGGACCCCAGCGGGACGGGCCGAAGCCCAAGGGGGAGTTCTCTTGGGAAAAGGACCAACACCCAAAATCGAAATAGTCTGGCTCGCCAGGCACTCCTGTGGCAAGCCGACGGGGGGCGGCGGATCGACGGGGGGCGTTCGCCCCATCCCGCCTCCGTGCCTGGAGTTGTGGGTCTGAGGCCTCTTGTATACGTTAGGTTTGCGTCGTGTCAACCATCGGCGACCCCGCCGCGGGCGTTCAAGGTTGAACGCCGCCAGTGGCCCAGAATCGGCCTGTATGGAACGATCGGGCGATCGAAAAGCCGCCGATCGTTCAAGGTTGAACGATCCACGCGGTGTCAAAAACCAACTCCGGGGTCGTCACGACACGAACTTGCCGTATGTGTTGGGGTGTCGTGGGAAGCCTCTCGAGTGCCTCTCGGAGGCGGTTTGGGCGCCTCTTGGGGGCCTCTTGGGGCCCCGTGGGGTATCTTTTGGGCTTCTCGGAGGCTTCTTGGGCGCGATATGGGCGCCTCTTGGGGCCTCTTGTAGGAAATCGTGGCCTCGGGGGCGCGAATGTGGTGCGATTTACGAGGGATCGTGGCTTCGGGGGCGCGAATGTGGCGTAATTTGCTCGGGATCGTGGCTTCGGGGGCGCGAATGTGGTGTAATTTAGAGGAGATCGTGGCCTTGGGGGTGCGAATGCGGCGTAATTTACGAAGGATCGTAGCCGCGGGGGCGCGAGTGTGGGGTAATCTATGGGAGATCGTGGCCCCAGAGGTGAGACTGTGGTGCAATTTATATGGGATCGTGGCCTCAGGAGCGTGAGTATGGTGTATTTTCAAAGGGATCGTGCCTTCGGGGACGCGAGCACATAGTAATTTACGAAGGATATTTGCCTTCGAGGCGCGATTACATAGTAATTTACAAGGGATTATTGCGTCGGGAGCGTGATTACATCGTTATTTCGGTGGATGATTGCGTCGGGAGCGAGAGTCTCATGTATTTTACATGTCACGCGCCCCCCCGACAATTCAGAGCACGCGATCCGGGCGTGGTAAATTTGATCCTTTTCGGCTCCCTCCCTTCGCGCGGACAGTAACAATTAACAGTTAAAAGCAGAAAGCAATGTTGTAATATTAGAAATGGGAAACTGGAGCTGGTGCAGGGAGCTATATATATACATATATATATATATATATATATATATATATATATATATATGGTCGGTCCCCCCCCCTAGCGACCCCCCAGAGCGCCCAAAGCACGAATCCACAGAATCGCTTCGTTGAAGCCCTTCGTTTTTTCACAACTCACCTTTGGCCTGCCATCCAGGCTGACGAACTCATCCGCTCGGCCCATCCGTCACGGGCACCGTGCGCGCAAGCATATCGGTTTCGGCCGAGGCCACGAAACGCTGTGTATTACATGTTGTTCTGTTTTTTCTGGTCTGGGAATCAACGAAACACTGTGTATTACAGGTGTTTCTGGTTTTTCTGGTTTCTGGAGCTGGAATGCTCGCCGCGGCCTCACCCCACCGCCCCCCCCCCCCCCCTTGTCGGCACATGAAAACTGTCATACACAGCTCTTCGTGGCCTCCGAGCAAGAAAACACTGTGTATGACAGTTTTTTGTTTTTTTGTGTGTATGAGTTATCTCATCTGGGAATCAACGAAACGCCGCGCATGGGCCTCTGAGCAAGGAAGCGCTGCGTGGCAGGCGTTGTTCTGTACTCTTCGGGGAAGGAGGAGGAGGATGGGGGGCGAAGAGAAGCGCGACGAGGAGTAGGAGTAGGACGGCATACAAGGGGCGAGGGAAGAGAAGGGGAGATGAGGAAGAGGAGGAGGATGGAGGAGGAGGAGGAGGAGGAGGAGGAGGAGGAGGAGGAGGAGCAAAAGGAGGAGGAAGAGGAGAGGGGAGGAGAAGCGTGACGAGGAGCGGGAGGAGGGGGGCATGCAGGGGGCGAAAGAATAGAATGAACGAATAGAAGGATAGTGAAAAGAGGTGGGCTTATATCAGGCAACGTTCAATAAGAAACCCAGAGTCTCGCCACCAATAGGCGGCCTGGCTCTGCAAACGTGGACGAGGATGAATATCATAGGCCCTGGGGGGTCGCTGGGGGGGGGGGACCAAGCATATATATATATATATATATATATATATATATATCGCCGCCGGGAATTCTGTTCTCCCCCCCCCGAGAGGACGGGTGAGGGGTACTCCTTTTGTAAGCTCGAGGGCCAGCATCACCCGCAGGGGGCCGCTTGGTCGGCGCAACCCAGACCCAGACATATTCGGCGTCCCGAGATTTCTTCGAGGCGCGGGCCCCCGGCCTCTCGACCGCTCCCCCGGAACCGTTTTTTTTTGGACGCCCGACATGGGCACGGAAAGAATGGGTACGATGCCCAACAGCAAGTGTTGTCCCAAACCAACCGCGGCCGCTGCTGGGCAGGCGGCCCTCTGTCTCAAGTGGACACAGGCCGTGGCGGCACCGACAGCGGGTCCTGTTCAGAATGATACAAGAACTGCTGTTGGGCGTTGTACCCATTCTTTCCGTGCCCATGTCGGGCGTCCACATTTTTCATCCCGAGTCGTCTTCGGATGGTCCCGAGGGACTGCAATGGCCCCGAGAGGCCGAAAACGGCGACGAGCCGCTGCCTCGATATTCTGGAGGTGCCAGATGTCTGGGGAGCCTCTCAGAGATTCGGCGCATCGAAAAAGTCAGGACGGAGTTTTTGTCGCCGGTTTCGGCCTCACGTCGATTAAGGAATTGGCCGTTTTCGGTTCGCGAGAGAGCGTCGCGGCCGTCATTTTTGCGGGTCCAGGTCCGTCGGTTTCGGTCCCAGGCCGTTTTCACTAAGGGGGGTTACTAAAGGGAAGTTTGTCCACCGCCGACAGTGGCCCCTCACTGAAAAGATCACGACATCGGCTCTCTGGGCTTGCCGCCTGCGCGCCCGACGACGCCCTGGAGACCTAAAAACCTAAAAGACGAAACGAGACAGCCTAAAACCAAGACGTAGAACAGCTCTGGGATAGGTTTTTACGTCGCGTGCTATTTTTCAGCCCTCCTGGAAGGTCAGGGTCACTGAAAAGAGCACGACATCGGCTCTCTGGCCTTGCCGCCTTCGCTCCCGACGACGCGCTGCCCGCGAGGCTGCCCGCGACGCGGCGGCCCCAGCGAGGGCGGCCCGGCCGCCCGCGGCCCCCGCGGCCCCCGCGCCGCCGGAGGCCCCCGCGCCAGGCGCCGCCCGCGGGCGCCCGTCGTCCGCCGCGCGCGCGCCGCCGCGGGCCTCTGCGGCGGCATCCCCCTCCTCCCCCTCCTCCTCCTCCTCCTCCCCTCCTCCTCCTCCCTCCTCCTCCCTCCTCCCCCTCCCTCCTCCTCCTCGTCGTCTACCTCCTCCTCCTCCTCCTCCTCCTCCTCCTCCTCCTCTCCTCCTCCTCCTCCTCCTCCTCCCCTCCTCCTCCTCCCCCTCCTCTCCTCCTCCTCCTCATCCTCCCCCTCCTCCTCCCCGCCCTCCGCCTCCTCCTTCTCTCCTCCTCCTCCTCCCCCTCCTCCTCCTCCTCCCCTCCTCCTCTCCTCCTCCTCCTCCTCCTCCTCCTCCCCTCCTCCCCCTCCTCCCTCCTCCCTCCTCCCTATCCTCCTCCTCGTCGTCTACCTCCTCCTCCTCCTCCTCCTCCTCCTCCTCCTCCTCCTCCTCCTCCTCCTCCTCCTCCTCCTCCCCCTCCTACTCCTCCTCCTCCTCCTCCTCCTCCTCCTCCTCCTCCTCCTCCCCCTCCTCATCCTCATCCTCATCCTCATCCTCCCCCTCCTCCTCCTCCGCCTCCGCCTCCTCCTTCTTCTCCTCCTCCTCCTCCCTCCTCCTCCTCCTCCTCCTCCTCCTCCTCCTCCTCCTCCTCCTCCTTCCTCCTCCCCCCCTCCCTCCTCCCTCCTCCTCCTCCCCCTCCTCCTCCTCCTCCTCCTCCTCCTCCTCCTCCTCCTCCTCCTCGTCGTCGTCTACCTCCCTGGGAGCCGGCGCGCCAGCAGAAATCAGGAGGAAACGGAACACACATCGAAGACCGATTTCTGGCCACATCCACCTCTGGATCCTCGATTCTGTGACAGGCCCTCGGGGGCGGGAGTGGGTAGTTTTTTGCCTTCCCCTGGGGCGGGGAAGCTGCCCACCTCCACCTCTGGAAACCGCTTTTCGCAAGGCACCTCGGGAAGTGGGTGTGGTCAGAAATCGGTCTCCTAACACAGGCACAAGTCATCCTCGATTCCCCCGAAAATATGGGAAAATATGGGAAGTGGGGGGGGAAGACAGAAACCCAGAAGATATGGGAACATATGGGGAATATGTTTTGTTTGTGTCTATTCATTTGTGTGTTCTGGGGCCCCTTCAAAAAGAGCGGGGCGGGGCGGCGGGGTTCTGGCGGTGTTCGGTCTTCGGGGGCCGTCGCCGGGCCTTTCGGAGCGTCAAGAGAACCATGCAGGACGAAGAACCGGTCCCGGGGAAGGGGTCTGGACCTCCTGCAGGGCCCACGCAGGGGACAAATGGGAGCAGCCGGATGTCTGGGATGGGAGTCGCGAGCACGGGGGGGTCCAGTCGAGGAAGCCCCAGACATGATCGCGTCGCAAAAAAAGCAGCAAGGCAAGTTTTTCCCTATGTTCGGCCCCTGGTGGCCTTCGCCGGGCCCCAGGAGCGTGAGAAGACGACTCACGCGCCAGACCCACGGATCCCTAATCCATGGTGGCATGTGCTTGGTCTTGGACGGTCGCGCACCTTCTGTAGTGCTATCAGCCGAGAGCCTCGCTGGAGCAGCAGCACGGTCATCTGACAGTCGAGGAGGCCAACGCGGTGCGATGCGGGGAAGCGCCAAACAAGCAGCTCCTGACCTCGCGGTACCCTTGCATTCTTGTCTCCTCGGTCCATCCTTGGCCGCTTTCGTTTCGAAATGGGCGTCCAAGGCCCTTGCATCCTTATCGCGCATCCTTCCTATACGGGTTGACTGTAGTGGCTGTCCTCCCACCTGGCCCAAGGTACTCCCAGGATTTAGAGCTTGACGTTTTTTGTTGTCCGATCGGCTCGCGGGGATCAGGCAAGATAAGTCAAAAGAAGGCGAGGCAGCTCCAGCACATCGAGGCACATCTAACCATGTAAACCCTGGGCTATCCAGACAAATGTGGTAAACGGCCACTCGTCCTTAGTAGGGTCCCATCCTTCAGGGCCCCGATCCTTTCAACTGCCGGCAGGATGGTCGTGACCAGGCCCGGGCGTCGTGAAATTACAGGTCGTTCTCGCCAGAGGGTGAGGATTCTTGGGATCCTAGGTTCCAGCCTAAGCGCCCTCCTACTCCAAGGGAGGGCGGCTTCCTGTTCACCTCAACCGCCCATCGGTTGGGCGCGCCGACATTAACGCTTCGTCAATCGCCACCAGACTCGGCAGAACCATTCTGCACGATGCCTGCGTCTTCGCCCAGCTTCGTCCTGGCCTCGCATCAGCTCGCCCGCGAGGCGTCGCCAGGCTGGACTCGATCCAGCGCCGTCGCGGCAGGCAAGTGGCGAGGCCAGCAGCATCTTGTGGACTCCCATGCCCTCAGTTCCGAGATTGGGGTTTATTCGCATCTCGAATCATAAAACTCAAGAGAAAAAACACAGACACTATTAATCGTCGATTCCCCAGAAAATATGGAAAAATATGGGCAGTGAAGGAGGAAAACATAAACCCCCCAAAAATGGAGAATATGGGGAATCCTTTTATCTTGTATATTTATTTGAGTGTCCCAGGGCCCCTTCAAAAACATGCATGAAAGTATTTGTTCCGAGATCCGCGCGGATTTTTGGGATCCGCGTTGACACTCCCCTGTCGGCGCCTCCCATGCCGTCCTTGGTCCAGCGCCGATGCAAGAAATCCGCGCGGACATCGGAGAAATACTGTTTCTGCAGTTTTTGGTTTCTCCAGTCCGCCGCCCCTTGCATGCGGCGGATACGGATAATCCCCCGTCTCGCATCGGTGTGCTGGGCGGCACGGGGCTGGCGATCAGGCCTGTCCCGTGGCCCAGGCACGATGCACATTGATTTACGAACTCCGGGGGCGGCTTGGGCACAGTCCTCTACCGTGGGGGCCCGTGCCAAGAAACATCCTGCCTGCCTCCAGGGTGCCTTGGGTTTCTTGAGGGTTTGATGGCTTTGCGACGGAAAGCGTGACGTTCCCACACCAAACACCGAGGGACGCCCTGGGGTCTGGGGGTCTGTTTTCTCGTGGAAGGTTCCGTGTGGTCGGGCCTCCGCTGCAGGTCGCCCGCACTGTTACCAGCCTGGAACATATCTCTATCCCTATGCTGGGCACCTCCTCATCACGATGCCAATCTTAGGGATCCCCTTATTTTTTGAGGGCGAATCCCTAAGATTGTCATCGCCCTTTGGCGTGTCAATCTTAGGGATAGGGATACGCTCGAGGCTGGCAACACTGGGCGCGCAGTGGGTCGCGCTGCGGCACGTCGCAGTCCGAGCCGGAGCGGGTGCCCTCTCTGCAGGGGGGGGGAGCCGCGCGGGGGCGCGCAGGCGCGAAAGGGCAGCCGCGCCCTCGCGCCCTCGCTGGCCGCGAGGGAGCGCGCAGCCGTGTGGCCCGGGGGTCCTCCTCTGCGGGGCGGCGCGCCGCCGCCCGAGACCGCACGCGCGCGCGCTTCGCTCTCGCTGTGGAGGGCCACGGCAGCGTCGGCGCCGCAGGGCGATCGCCACGACAGCGAGGGCGGGCGACGACGACGGCGGACGATGGCGACGACGACGACGACGAATGATGGCGACGACGTCGACGACGACGACGGTGGCGGCGATTACGGCGACGGCGGCGACGACGGATAGAAGCGTCCGAAGGCCTCGACCATTGCCGACGGCGACGACGAGGGCGACGACGAGCAGCGCCCGAAGAGCGGCGCCACGCGCGGCCTCCCAGCAGACCTCGCTCCCGCGCCCGCCCGTTCTGGCGACATCGCAGGCGCGCTGGCGGACGCGGAGACCCTGCGCCGCCTCGCGGAGGACACCGCGCGCGTAGAAGGCCCGGACGGATGTGGAGACTGCCTGCCTGCCTTGCCTGCCTGTCTGCTTCTCTGCCCGCCTGCCTGTGGCTGTCTCGGTGTGCCTCTCTCTCTCTCTCTATCCGTCTGTCTGCTTCTCTGTCCGTCTCTCCGTCTCTCTGCCTGTCCCCCCGTCTGTCTCTCCGTCCGGCCTGTCTGTCTGTCCCTCACCCCGTCCCTCCGCATCCCCCTGGCATCGCTCGGACGTGTGCGTTTCTTCCTCGGCGAGGACCATCGAGGAGCATCGTTTTGATGACTTGGCGAAAAAATACCACGCACAAAACCGAGAAAACACACAGGGAATGGACGTCCGAGCGATGGCCAGATCCCGCCCGCTCCCTCCGCATCTCCCCCTTTCCTGCCTGCCCGCCCCCCCCCCCCCCCGAACCTCCCTCTCCCCGTCCGCCAGTTCCGGGCCCGCGCGCGGGGGCCCCCCAGAGGGGAGGAGGGGGCCTCGCCTTCCGAGGGCAGGGGGAGCTGGCAGCCCTTCCTCGACGAAGGGCGGCGGCTCCGCCGGCGGAAGGCCGGCGGAAGTCACAAAGCAATGGCAGGCTGTAGAAACAGAAGCATAACAAGTCGATTGCGTGCGCGGTTCCTCTTGCCAGATGATCCAGGATGCTCCTCGATGGCCCTCGCCGAGACACAATACACACGTCCGGACATTGAGGGAGCACTGAGGGTACGTACGCGCGGAGGTTTGGGATCCGCGCTGGGCCCCCCTGGCGGCGCCTACGACGCCGCCTTTGGCGCGCTCCGCGCGCCAGGGAGAGGCGTTCAGCACAGATCCAAGAAATTCGCGCGGACCTCCGAAAGTGCATGCTTCTGTAATTGGTGGTTATTGTACTTGCTTGCTGATATCCTTGACCGATTCCCTTTGTCATTTTTCTTCGGGGGCAGGAGGAGGAGGAGGAGGAGGAGGAGGAGGAGGACGAGGAGGACGAGGAGGAGGAGGAGGAGGAGGAGGAGGAGGAGGAGAGGCGGAGGCAGAGGGAGGCGGAGGCGGAGGCGGAGGCGGAGGCGGAGGCGGAGGAGGAGGAGGAGGAGGAGGAGGAGGAGGAGGAGGAGGAGGAGGAGGAGGAGGAGGAGAGGTGGGAGGGGGAGGAGGAGGAGGAGGAGGAGGAGGAGGAGGAGGAGGAGGAGGAGGAGGAGGAGGAGGAAAAAGGAGGAGGAGGAGGAGGAGGAGGGAAAGGAGGAGGAGGAGGAGGAGGAGGAGGAGGAGGAAACGGAGGAGCTGGAAGTGGAGCAGGAGGAGGAGCTTGTCCCATCCTGGGGCGCGCGCACCGGCACCGCCAGGCTGGGTGCAGCAGCTGGCCGAGCGGGAGGCCATGCAGGACCTGCGGGGGGGAGCCGAAGGGACGAGCTGCACCTCTGCAAGGTTTCTTGTGGTCGGGCCCCGACTGCACACCCAGAGAGCAACGTGGTGTCGCTGACGGTAAATGTGGTGGTGACGGTGACGTGGTGAAGCTGGCGATCGAGGGCCGCCACGAGGGCGCGAAGTTTTTCGCGGTTCGCGATCCGCGACTCCTCGTCCTCGTCTGCCTTGTCCTGCTCGCCCCCGGGGGCCGGCGCGACAGCGTGAAGTTATCCGTGTTTCGCGCAGCGCGAAGCGCAAACATAATTGCCCTTGGTGATTTGTGGCGTTGATGTTGACCTGGTCGACGATGATGTTGCCTATGATGATACACGGGGTGCGCTCTGCTTCCCTGCCAGTGACTCTGCCCATCTATGGCGGGGATTATCAGCACCTCGTGGAATCGCTGAATAATCGTGCGAAGACGCGAACCGTGTTCGACAGCAAGATAAGGCATCTCCGTGGATATCGCAGCGTTCGGCTTGTTTTCCAAATGAGGTGAACCTTTTACGCCACATATTTTGCACGGCACTGCGGCGAGGAATGAATCCAGGGGCTTGACACGCGCAGCGGGGCCTCAATTTGATGCACTCGTTTCATGACCTCAGCTGCACGCCGATGGTTTGTCGGGCTGGCAATTATTGTTACTACGCCAGAGGGACTGCACGCTGACCGCAGTCGTCGCGTGCGCAGTGATTTCACGTGCGGTGGATTCCAGCAGCTGGTGACTGGTGCTGGTACGACTTTGCGCCACAGTGTCTTTTGCAACCGTGCCGCGGCCATCAGCTCAGCCGACCTGCGGAGACGCGCTGACGTGGAGCATCGCGTCTTTGGCACATTCGAAATTCTGCGAAATGAGTGCGGACAGACATTGGTACGATGCCCAACAACACACGTTTCCCACCACCGACAACGGCCGTTGTTAAAAAGACGGCCTTACCCATCTCGAAAGGACAACGTCCGCGGCGTTGCCGACAGCGAGTCCTGCACACAATTGATAAGAATTACTATCGGTCTTCGCTGCCACTATTCGTACCCATGCCATTCCCTTTAGAACACGCAAATGTTCTCAGATCTCCGAAAGATGGACCTCTGGTGAACTGAACCCCTTCTCCAGGACCAGTGTAGTTTCATCCGGGGTCGTTTTTTGACGGTCCGGCGAGGACCCCCAGAGTCCGAAAACAGCTGCAAATTCCCGTCGTGATTTTTCACGACGTGAGCTTGTCAAGGAGTTGGTGTTGGCCTTCGTCTCCATTCTTCCCCTATCCATTTCGATCGTACCGACCTGTCCTCCGTGCCGCCAGTAGCGGGGGTTGGCCTGTGCTTCCTGTGTGACACAGGCAACACAGGCCACCCTCGGCCACTGGCTGGCGACCACATGTAGGACACAGGCTGTGTCCTGCCCGTGGACGGACAATGCAGGGCCTGTATGAATCGCTCCAGACTGTTCTGGAACGCTCTCAGAGCACACTGGAGCGCTCTGGAACGGCCGCGGCGTCTGATACGTCTTCCAGAGCTGCCAGATCTCGGGGATTCCCAATGGATCCCAGTCGGAATTCGTTTGGGTCATAGTTTCGTCTTCACGGGGCACCGCCCGTGGTCTGTGCCGCCAGCAGCGGGCGGCTTCTGTGCCCCGGGTCCAGACAATTTGCCCTGGTGACCCACGTCAAGGAGAACACCCAGGATGCAACAAATCACATCCTTGGGTATCTGCAGGCAGCACCGAGCCCCTCGTCCCTGGGGTCCCACGCAGCAGGGCCTTAGCTTTGAGCCGTCTCCAGCGGCCTGTGCCGCCAGCCAGCCGGCGGCTTCTGTGCCACTCCCGAGGAGGCGGCCTCGCCGGTCTTTGGCTTCGAGCGGGAGCTGCGGGCGCTGGGCGTGCTGCGGCCCGGAGAGGCGCCACGGGGCTCAGGGGGCAACCTATGGGCGGTTGGGCGTCGTTCCCAGATTCAGGAGAGAAACCAACACCCCGACCCCGATAACTGGCGTGCCCAAAACAGCGCAGGGCGTTTACTAACCAGCCCTGCCCTGTTCGATTGCTTCCTTGGGTGCGTTCATTAAACGGCTTCGCTTACCTGGGTGTTTATTTTCTTTCGCAGCTGTGCTCTAGAGCTCGGACATCTTTATTTTCGTCGTGGTTCGTGGTTCGTGGTGGTTCGTCCCCCTCGGCCCCTCCCCTGAGCCTGAGCCCCAGCTCCCCTGGGCCACCCACCCTTCGGAGGCTTGCTCCGTCCAGGCTTCGCAGGGCAGCCCCCCTTGGCCGCGGACATCCTTATTTTCGTCGTGGTTCGTGGTTCGTCGTGGTTCGTACCCCTCGGCCCCTCCCCTGAGCCTGAGCCCCAGCTCCCCTGGGCCCCCCCCTTGGGCCCCCCCCTCCGTCCAGGCTTCCCAGGGCGGCCCCCCTGGGCCGCGGAACCTTTTCTGTTCGTCGTGACTCGTGGTGGTTCGTACCCCTCGGCCCCCCCCCTGAGCCTGAGCCCAAGCTCCCCTGAGCCACCCAGCCTTGGGAGCCTCCCTCCGTCCAGGCTTCCCAGGGCGGCCCCCCTGGGCCGCGGAACCCTTAAGTTTTCGTCGTAGTTCGTGGTGGTTCGTCCCCCCGACCCCCCCCTGAGCCTGCCTCCCATCCCTTGGCCCTCGAGCCCCTCCTCTCCTCCTCCTCCTCCTCCTCTCTCCTCCTCCTCCTCCTCCTCCTCCTCCTCTCCTCCTCCTCCTCCCTCCTCTCTCCTCCTCCTCCTCCTCCTCCTCCTCTCCTCCTCCTCCTCCTCCTCCTCCTCCTCCTCCTCCTCCTCCTCCTCCTCCTCCTCCTCCTCCTCCTCCTCCTCCTACCTCCTCCTCCTCCTCCTCCTCCTCCTCCTCCTCCTCCTCCTCCTCCTCCTCCTCCTCCTCCTCCTCCTCCTCCTCCTCCTCCTCCTCCTCCTCCTCCTCTTCGTCTCCTCAAATGCGCAAGAGCCAGGGCACGCGTGCCACTTGTTGTGATGGGGGATCTTCTGCGCTCTGCAGATCGCCGAGGATATGGTGTTTTCAGTCCCCGGCGCTTGTCCTCGAGTTCGGCGCTCCCGGGTCCCAGGACCACCGAAGAGGGTCTTGGGCGACTTCTACCCTCAGGAGAAGGGCCAGGGGCAACCGTAAGGGGGGGGGGCGCTTCGGGTTCGAGGTTCGAGGTTGTCTTAAGCTGGGCATGTCCCTCTACAGGGGGACCGTTCAAACATAGGAGAGGAACAGTCTGGGGACGATGTCTTGGTCATTGTCTGCTATTCTGGGGCATCTTTCAAATGCCTTTTATTTTTCGTCCACGGTCCGCCGGTATAGGAGGACATGCCCGACCTAAAGGTCGTCGGGTGGTTCCGTCGGTTCTCGACCGGGGGCCTCCAGTGTCTGGACGCCCGAGATGGGCACGAAAAGAATTGGTACAATGCCCAACGCCAGTTCCTGTCCACTTTGAGCAGGACTCGCTGTCCGCGCCCGCCGCGGCCTGTGCCCATGCGAGACAGGAGGCCGCCTGCCCGGCAGCGGCCGCTGTTGGCTTGGGACAACCTTTGCTGCTGGGCACCGTGCCCATTTTTCCGTACCCGTTTCCGGGCGTCCAAGCCCTCCTCCTCCTCCGCCCCCGCCCCCGCCTCGGCCTCGGCCTCTGCCTCCGCATCATTTCCCCTTCCCTCCCTCCCTCCCTCCCTCCCTCCCTCCCTCCTCTTCCTCCTCCTCCTCCTCCTCCTCCTCCTCATCCGGGCGTCCAAGCCCGGCCGTTGCGCCCCGGCCGGGCGCGCGCCCAGCCGCGCCTCCGGCGCCAGAGGCGGGGCACCTCGGCGGGGCGCGGCGCGCCGGCGCGGAGTTCCCGCCCGGCACGGACGGCGAGGACGCGGCCGGGCGCGGGGGTGCTCGGGGGCGGAGAAGAGGGGGGTGATGACTAGGGGGGGAGCGTAAGACCCGGGTTTGCCGGGACTCGGGTTCGCCATCGTTTTTTGACGACCGCGACTCGGATTTTGATGAGGAGGAGTTTTGTGGGATGTCTGCAGCGGGAGGCCTCGTCAAAATGCAGGCTCGGCCTCGTCATTTTTTTGACGACCTCGTCGGGGATTTCCGAGTCCCCCGTACCCGGGTCTTACGTCTCCCCGAGACTAGGGGGGGTGGATATCATGGCGGGGGTCACGATATTTCCGCAGATTTCATGGCGCCTCTTCTTATTTCTTGGGGCCCCCCCCGACCGCACATGCGCGTCATGATTGCCCCCCCCCCCCCCCCCCTCTCTTGGACACCCCCCTCTTGGCCGCTCCCGATGTGCTCTCACCGAGCGCGCTCCACGGCTCGCAAAGTTCAAGCAGCGGCGAAGCGTCCTGGCTCGCCTGTAGCCCTACCAGACAATGTTCTCAGAACCCTCTGGTGGTTTCCACGAACTGTTCTTAGAACATTTCTGGCGGAGGCTGTCTTGTTTTATCGCATCGGGTTTCTGTTCTAAGAGCATTGTTTTTGTTCTTAGAACATTTTTTGGGTTCTAATAACATTCCGTGGTATGACTATAGGAATGCCGGGACGGTCGGTCCCTGCTCAAAAAGTGCCTGCTCGCAAACGTCCGAAAAACGCACGTCTGCACCGATGCAGCACATCGTGAATCTCCCATGGCGGAGCCAGGCCATTTTGCGGGCAGGCACTCTGCCAGTAGTGGAACGCGCTCGTCTACTTTCGGGAGCCTTGGGACGGGGCTCCATGCAATCGTCTATCTGGTTGACCCGAAAGGGAGTTCAGCGAAAAAGGGGGTGGTGCGGCAGACATGGTGCAATAGCTCTGTATGGTTGCAACAGAGTTGGGATGTGCAATACATTCCACTGCGCAAGTGTATTGCTGGATTTTCGGGTGCAATGCACTAGCTGCAACACAATACAATCCAATGCTCTGGCTCAGCATATTTGCAATACAATTGCTCCAAATCTGTTGCACCACACCCTTTCATCTGGACCCCCTTTCGAGTCACGAGGAGTCCAGGCCTTTGGATGGGGTCCGAGTAGATGGGGTCGGAGGACCGCGCCGCATCGCCGATGCATCGACGATGCGGTTCGATGTGGAGCCCGTATTTTTCCCCACGACGACGTCGCCGATGCATGGCCGACGTCGCCGATGCATCGCCGATGCATCGCCAATGCATCGCCGAGATATCGGCGATGCATTGGCGATACGGCGCGATCCCGATCCTTCGCTCCCATGTGCTCGGACCGCCTTTATGCGGCATCTAAAACGGTGGTCAGCCAGATCGCCGGATCTCGCAGGATCCTGCAGAGACGGTCGCATCGGCCCAGGCTTGGGTGCATGATCTTGCAGGATCCCGCAGGATTTTGCAGGATCTTGCAAAGTTGGATTGATCTGGGTTCGATCGACCCCGGGTCAGTAGACCTCCGAGCCACGAGCTTGGAGGGTCGGAACGGGTACAGGAAGAATGGTGACGAAGACCAATTGCAGTTCTTGTCAGTATTGAACAGGACTCGCTGTCGGTGCCGCCACTGGCGTGTTCCACTTGAGGCGCAAACATTATCCTGCCCAACAGTGGCCGCTGTCGATTTTGAACAACATGTGTTGTCGGGCATCGTGCCCATTTCTTCTGTACCTATTTCGGGCGTGCTAAAGAGGCGAGCGATGACAAAGGGTTGGGAAACAGCAAATGGCAAACACATACAAACTTTCGGGGCTCCGCGAGGATTCCTCCCCTCGGCGCTAGAGCCCCCCAGCGGCGCCTCTGGCGCCGCCCCCAGCGCGCGCCAGGGAGAGGGGGCATGAGATCGCCCCGGATGTCATGACCCCCTCTGCTTGTTTCAATGCGTCCCCCGCCCCCCCACACCTGGGCCGCGCACGGGCTATGATGTTGGAGCCTCCCTTTTAGACGCCCCCCTCTTTGGACGCCCACGAAAGGACAGTGATACCGCCGGTCTTGCTCGTTGTCGCCTCGTTGGGCCTCCTGGGAGGCCCTCGTCGCCTTGGCTGGCTTCGCCTCGAAATTCGGTTCAGGACGCACCCCGGGAGAAGTCCTGGAAGTACAGTGGAGACCCATGCAAAGAAACACCCGGCTCGCCTCCAGGGTGCCCTGGGTTTCTTGGGTTTCGATGGTTCTACGATGGAAAGCGTGACGTTCCCACACGAAAAACAAATGGACGTCCTGGTGTCTCAGGGTTGGGTTTCTTGTGGAAGGGTTCTTGTGGTCGGGCCCCTACTGTAGCGATATCGGTATCCTTTGGTTCCACCATGCATGGGCAAATGTTTGCAGATGGTCGGTCTGATTCTCTCGTGCTCTCACGTTGGCCCCAGCAAGGGCACGTGGCGTCTGCGGCGACGTCGCCCGCGGCTCCGGGGAGGCAGCAATTGACGGAGGATCAAGTTTACCAGGTTCTATTGTTTTGTGTTGCGTTGGCGTTAAGTTTGGTTTCTTCATGTTTGTGCGTTTGCTGGGTGAGGGCTCGGTTGTCCTTCGTTTATTCCTACTCGCGTTCCCCTGTTGCGATAAGCGTGCGCCACCGTGCCTCGAACGGTGTACAGTAGTTCCATCGCTTACAGTTGCCATGCCTGTGGGATATTAATGGGAATCGACGTCCATTCTCCGTCAGGAATCTCAGTGTCATAAATACCATGTGCAAGGACCTGAGGTGAGGTCTACGAGCGTTAGCGGGTTTCTTGAATATCCGGTGGCGTTTTTTGTTCAGTTTTTTGGTTTTCCTAATCATGTATGGCTTCGACGTGTCTGCACACGTGCCATTCGCGTAGTTTGGATGTTTATCGATCGAGTGCGCGATGCCGTATCAACATGAAAGGTGTGAGCTGGCAGGTCTAGGGGAGTGAGAGCTGGAGCCGTGGATTTGCACCACATGCCCCAGAGTCGTCGCTGCGAATGTGGCGGCGCGCGTGGGGTAATCGACCGCAAAGTTCCAGGGACGAGGAGGAGGAGGACGAGGAGGAGGAGGAGGACCAGGAGGAGGAGGAGGAGGAGGAGGAGGAGGAGGAGGAGGAGGAGGAGGGGAGGAGTGGTTGGGAGTAAGACGAATCTCGAAACCGCCATGCAGAGAGATAGGTGCCAGGGCATGGGCGGCGGGCCAGGGTTCTCCATGCAGTATATCTGCGCCTCTCGGGGGTGGGGGCGGCGGCCTGACGGAGCTGGTTCATGAATGTGAGGCAAGAGGGCGGCACGGAGTGAGGGGGGCAGAACGCAGGGAGCAGGGGGGCGAGGAGGAGAGAGAGGGTGGAGGAGGGGGAGGAGGATCAGGAGGAGGAGGAGGAGGATCCAGAGAAGCGCCGAGCACAAACAGCGAGGTAGGATGTGGTGGGGCAGATGCCATATCGTGCTCTTGGGCCGACGCGGCGGCCGTTCGGGGAGGAGGAGGGATTGGAAGTTGGAGGAGGAGGAGAGGGAGGCGAGGATGGAGGAGGGATAGAAGAAGGGAGAGGAGGAGGGAGAGGAGGAGGGAGAGGAGGTGGGAGAGGAGGGGAGGAGGGGAGGGGAGGGGGGCAAGCTAGGTGCGCTCGCATGATATCTGAAGTCCTAACCCTCCCTCCCATCCCTTACCATGGCGTAGATATCCTCTCTATCCGCACAGTCGGATGTCGAGCAGGGCAATGATCGCGAGAGGGTACGCGGTGAATGGTCGAGCACGGCATGGCATGGCGTAGAAGAGCACGGCAGAGCGTAGCATGTCATAGCATGGCGTCGCATTGCGTGTTGAAGCATTGCATCACACAGCACTGCAACGTAAAGCCTGGCATCGCACAGCGGCGCAGAACACAACACCGCACAGCACGTCATGGCATGGCGCCAGGTTCTTTGGAGGGTAAGTGGATCGTCTTCGGAATCTCTGGGCCGATCTGGAGTCGTGGCTCCATGCCTAGCTCCTTGGGCTCCCCGGAAAGCTCCACACAAGGCGGGGCTTATGCAGAGCACCCGCTGGCTCTGCTCCCAACATCGCCTTCTCAGAGCAGAAACGGGGCTACCGCCCGATACTTCCTGACAATGACGACGCCCCCCAAGAGGGGGGGGGGGGCTTCTGCGGTCCAAGAACTCAACGAATCGACACCGAGTGTGGAATCACTCCCGATGTTTTTTTCCGGGGGGGCATTTTCTTTAGATTTTGAACCCCTTTTGGACGGAAGGCCAGCGCTGTAGCGGGAGTACGAGTCGGAACGAGCGGAAGCGCGGAAATCAGGCCAGCGAAGCAGCGGGAGCACGATTCGGATTGAGCGGAAGCCCGAAAATGAGGCCAGCGATTCAGCGAGAGTAGCATTGTGAAACAAAAACCAAGCGAAAACTTGTTGCCCGGGAATCTTGTGTGACAAAAAACAGTACGCGGAAGGGGGGCCGGATACCTTCCGGACGTCATCAGGGGAGAGAGGAGGGTAGTATTCAGATTGTGTAATTGTGGAGGGGTGAGGGAGGAGGAGGAGGAGGAGGAGGAGGAGGAGGGGAGGAGGGGAGGAGGAGGAGGAGGAGGACAGGGAGGAGGAGGAGGAAGGAGGAGGAGGAGGAGCAGGGAGGAGGAGGAGAAGCAGGGAGGAGGAGAAGCAGGGAGGAGGAGAAGCAGGGAGGGTGACACCTGCGCCCCCAAGAGGTCGGCCAAGAACATGGGGGGAGGAGGGGAGGAGGGCGGAAGGGGAGGGTGGAAGGCGAGGGCGGGGAGAGCAGAGGAGGAGGAGGAGGAGGAGGAGGAGGAGGAGGAGGAGGAGGAGGAAACGGAGGAGGAGGAAACGGAGGAGGAGGAAACGGAGGAGGAGGAAAGGAGGAGGAGGAGGAGGAAATCAGGAGATGAGCGGCGAGGGAAAGAAGGGGAGGAGGAGGAGGAGGGAACAGGAGAGGAAAAATGAGGAGGAGAGGAAAAAGAGGAGGAGGAGGAGGAGGATGAGCGGGTGGGAAAAGGAGGAAGGAGGAGGAAATGGAGGAATGGAGGAGGAGGATGAGGAAACGGAGGAGGAGGAGGATCAGGAGGCTGAGGAGGAGGGAAAGAAGCAGGAGAAAAAGGAGGAGGAGGAGGAGGAAAAGGAAGAAGAAATGGAGGATGAGGAGGAGGACGAAATTTAGGAGGAGGCGTCTGGAGTTCAAGGACGTCCGGAGGTTTAGGAGGGAGGAGGAGGAGGAGGAGGAGGAGGAGGAGGAGGAGGAGGAGGAGAAGGAGGAGGAAGCGGAGGGCAATTAAGAGGAGACGGCCTTCCTCCCAGGGCGGCAGCGTCTGCTGACAGACTCTACGGCCATCAGCGTCAGCGTCAGGGGGCGTCGCAGCGGCAGGTGATCGCTCGAGGCGGCGATCGCCGGCTCTGGCCTTGGTCTCCAAGCCGTGCCGAGTCATGCCGAGTGCAATTTTCTTTTCATTCAAAGTGTGCAGGTATAACCTCGGGGGTAACGATAGAGGGGGATAGGCATAGGGGGGGAATGCTTTGACCCCAATCGCCGATTCATCGCCGATTGGGGGGCCCGATAGCCCCAACTTTCCCAGAAAGGTGCGGATTCACTATCGGGGCCCCATCGCAGGCCTATCGGCGATGTATCGCCAATTCCAGGTCCATGTCTCCAGATTCCAATCTACTTGAAGCGCCTTCCTACTTCGATGATCGAGTGGCTTCACTTATCCGTCCTCCTTAGGGGGCGGACGGGACCCAATCTGCTGTCAACTCTTTCCTATGTCATGTTTCTACCACTTCTTCCGTCAGATGGGTACCCCCTCCCATTTCTCGTCCGGTGCCTCCCTCTTCCTATTTTTTCGTCCCGTGGGACGACGCTTCCCTCCTCATGCCCCCTCCCCCCCCTCCTCAGCCGGCCTCGTCTGACAGGGCAGAGGTTCCGTGGGTGGCTGTCTCTGCTTCGTCCTTGGGCCAGGGCAGATTGCGACGGGCGAGGCTGCCCCGCCCGAGCTCCCCCCCCGGGCCCTCGGCTATTGAGGGGCCGGTCGGTTCCCAGAGCCCTTTCGGGCTGTGAAAAAAATCACGACGGGGAGGTGTTCGCTATTGTCAGCCTGTGGGGGCCATTGCGGGGCCCCAGGGCCGTAAAGCCGGTCTCGGGGAAGGGGTCTGTTTTGGATCCGGGGTTGACCACTTTCGATTTTGCTTCCCGCATCCGCCTGTGGGAGGGCATGCCCGACCCAGCCCCGGCAGTGCCGCGCACGAGCGAGCGCTCCTCCACGCCGCGCGGGCGGCCCGCGCAAGCCGCGGCGCAGGGCCGCTCTCCGTGCTTCCTCGCGTGGGCACCCGCTCCGCCTCGCCGCCCGCCGCCGGGGTCTTGGTTGGGCGGACGGACCACCCCTGCGCGCCGGGGCGCGCTTTTCCACCAGGAAGGGAGCGGTGGCGCCGCGGTGCCGAGAGGGGGAGGAGGAGGAGGAGGAGGAGGAGGAGGAGGAGGAGGAGGAGGAGGAGGAGGAGGAGGAGGAGGAGGAGGAGGAGGAGGAGGAGGAGGAGGAGGAGGAGGAGGAGGAGGAGGAGGAGGAGGAGGAGGAGGCAGGAGGAGGAGGAGAGGAGGAGGAGGAAGGAGAAGGAGGAGGAGGAGGAGGGGAGGATGAGGAGGGAGGAGGTGGAGGAGGAGGAGGAGGAGGAGGAGGAGGAGGAGGAGAGGAGGAGGAGGAGGAGGAGGGAGGAGGAGGAGGGGGGAGGAGGAGGAGGAGGAGGAGGAGGAGGAGGAGGAGGAGGAGGAGAGGGGAGGAGGAGGAGGAGGAGGAGGAGGAGAGGAGGAGGAGGAGGAGGAGGAGGAGGAGGAGGAGGAGGAGGAGGCGGAGGAGGGGAGGAGGAGGTAGGAGGAGGAGGTGACAGGAGGAGGAGGAGGAGGGGGGGGGACAGGCCGGGCCAGCCCGCCGCGGCGGGGCAGGCCGGGCAGCAGTTCTGGCGTGGCGCGGGCGGGCCTCCCAGAGCCGCCTCAGGACAAGCTCTGGCACCGCGAGATGGCGCGCCAGCGCGCGAAGGCGGGACGGGCCAGACCTTCGCGGGCGATGTTTCTCCCCCAATCCCCGAGTTTCGCCCGAAAAGGATCGCCGCTCAGAAAAATGGGAAAACCCTGGGATGCACCCCAAGGAGGCCATTCGGACGCACCCCTACCGAGCATGGACACCCCCCCATCGTATATCCCAGGGTTGGGCCCAAAATTTCTGGTCCATTTGGAACCCCCACGAAGCCTGGGATAGGGGTCGACACATCCCCTGTTAGACCTCCTCGCGTTGTGAGCAAAGCAGGACGGGAGGTTGTCACTATTTGCGGCCAGCGGGGGCCCTCACAGGGCCTCGCGGGCCGTCCAGAAACGGCTCCGGGTGAGAAGACCTGTCCCGGGGAAGGGATTCCAGACCTTTGGGGGTCGACGCTGTGAAGAAGTCACGACGTCGGAGGTCTGGGGACTCTGCACGGCCTTCTTGCCCCACATGCCCGGGCAATACACGATTGCAGCACCGCTCCCTCGCGCATCCTGAGGAGCTGCTCTCGCCGTCCTGGTCCTCGCTCCCGGTCCCCGTCTCTAGGGGGGCGAACAATGACAGAAGGATGAAAACTCGGAGGTCCGCGCGGATTTCTCGGATCGGCGCTGGACCCTCCTTGGCGCAAGCGCGCCAGGGGCGGCGCCGGAAGCGCCGCCTGGGGGCTCCAGCGCGGATCCGAGAAACCCGCGCAGACCTGCGAGTTTTTATGTTTCTGTCATTGTTCGTTCCCTATAGTCTCGGCCCGTCGCTCTTGTCATCCTGCGGATCGTCTTGGCCCTCGTCCTCCTATCCCCCCCCCCCGGCGGGCCCAGGACAGGGAACAGATCGGTCCAGAGCGTTGCGGATCGCTCCGGAACGGCCGCGGCGCCAGATGCAGTGGGGGCCCATGCCAAGAAACACCCTGCTTGCAGGGTGCCCTGTGTTTCTTGGGTTTGGGATGGTCTTGCTGTGGAGAGCGCGGCGTTACCACGCCCAAAATCCATGAACGTCCTGGAGTCTCAGGGTTGGGTTTCTTGTGTACTGACCTCCGCTGCACATCCTGCAGAACCGACGGGTCTTCGAGAGAACGCATTGTCCCTGTCCGCTGTTGTCCCAGTCCGGGCCTCGCCTTCCCCCTCGTCCTGACGAGCTGCTCGAGCGCCGCGCCTGTCCCCAGGCATGCGATGACCAGACTTGTTCCCGGAAGGGCCCCCCGGGAGTCCCGACCCTTTCCTCGGGGCCAGCGTCTCGCTCCGGGCCGCTGTCTGGCAGTCCCTGGGCCCGGCGCGGGCCCCTGGGAGACCCGAGGCGGCAGAAAGTATGGCCCTCGCGACGTTTGCTGCCCCATCTCTCGCGCTTGGGCCCGTGGCAGGAAGGGAGGGGGGTGGGGTGTAGGGGGGGGGGGGGGCGGCAAGGCCGGGGGGGGGCGGGGTCCCAGGGTTCCTTGGCTTTGTGTCCTCGCAAAGCGCTGCCCGGGCGCCCTTCGTTCTGGCCCCTTGGTGGCCTTAAGGACCCTTGCTCTTTGTTCCCTTGGTTTCTTCGTACAGTGCCGTTTTAAATGCATGCTCCGCGTGCGGATCCTGTATGAAACATGCAGGAAGGTAGTATCTAAAACAACGATGAATTCAGGCATAATCTGATTCATGAATTCTACAGGCTTACGCCACATCCGCCGACCCCTTCTGTGACTGTTGCGAGGCCAGGAGTTTCTGGCCAGCGGCGTCTTGTGTGAGGGTGCGGTGTCGCGCGCGGGTGGTGGCAGATACGTAGGGGGTCCACCTGTTTGCGTGATGCCGGTGGTCTGGGGCGTGTTTTGCGAGCGCTTTGCGTGCTGTGCACCCGGGTGCGGGGTGTCCTTCTGGGAGGTCGGCCTCTCGCCCCTCAACCAAGTGGAGGAGCACCGGAAGACGAAAGGAGCAAGAGTAGCGTGCGGAAGCTGTGATCAGCGAAGCATCACCGCGAAAGATGTGGCAGATGAGTCGAAACGGGTGAAGAGGCTGTTGACGTTCGCAGCGCGCACGAAACAGTTCGCGTAGCAGCAGCACGTCGCGTAGCACAGCGCCGAGCAAGATTGTGAGCACGTCGCGAGGAAGAGCAAGGCTGCATGCGCGGAGTGCATTGCAGTTGGCTTGACGGCTCGCAATGCGGAAGCGTCTGGTGGTCTTTTGGAGGCCTCCTGGGGGCCTCTTGGGGGCTCGTGGGGCGTCTTGGCGGCCTCTTGGGGGCCTCTGGCGGCCTCTTGGGGCACTCTTGGGGCCCCCTGGGGCTCGTGGGGGCGGGAAGCTAGATTTTTGAATTTTTGGTTGCCCTCTTGGGCCCCTCTTGGTGCCGTCTTGTCGGAAATGCGCGGAAGAACGTCAGAGGACGACGCTTGAGTCCAATAATAGGAAACGGAGAGCCGAGGCGGAAGCGAAGCCGCTGACGTGCGCGGCGTGCGGAGGAGCGTTCTCAGACACGAAACATTTGAGGCAGAGCCAAAAAGAACATCATCGATGGTCGAATCAAAAAAAGGTGGTGTGCGGAAGCTGCGCGGCACTCGGGTTCACAGCCCGCAGTTGCCAGGCGTATCAGTGCAGCGGCGCGTGCAAGAGAAGACTACCGAAGTCGGCGTTCCCCGACCCTCACAATGTCCCGCGCGACGCAAAAAAAGGCACTCTGAAGTGCAAGACCTGCAAATGATGCCGAATCGGGCGCGCGCGCTGAGGAAAAAGGAGAACGAGGACAGGAGAATGGGGGGTGAGGCGGAGGACACAGGGGAGAATCATCGAACGTGTCGAGGTGACGGGCCATGAACAAGAGGAGGGGGACGAGGAGGAGGGGGACGAGGAGAGGGTGGTTGAGGAGGAGGATGAGGGGGACACTGAGAGGAGGCTCTGGGTTATGGTCTTTGGGTGAGAGGTTCTTGTATGTGTATCGGAATTTCGCGGCACTCCTTTCGGGGGCCTCTGGAAAGCAGTTTTGACGCCACTGGGGGGCCGACGTGGACAAGGCGGGTGAGGGGGAGGAGGAGGGGGACGCGGAGGAAATGTTCTGGGTCATGGTTTTGGAATTCTTCGCCTCGGGAGCGCGAATCCCGCTTGTGCGATGATCGCTGGGATCTCTGGTGGTGCTTCTCGCGGGACTCTTGGAGGCAGTTTCGAAGCCTCTTGGGGGCCGTTTTGGGGCCGTTCTGGGGCCTCTTGGGGGGCCTCTTGGGGCCTCTTGGGGGCGTTTTGGGGGCCTCTTGGGGCCTCTCGGGGCCTTTTAGGGCCGTCTCGGGGCGGAAGGCTCGGGATGTCAGTTCGGGCTCCCTCTCTTGGGCCCCTCTTGGGGCCGTCTTGGGGCTCTCTTGGGCCGTCCTGGGGGCCTCTTGGGCTGTCTTGGCGCCCTCTTGGGCGGACTTGGGCGCGTGTTGGGGGCCTCTTGGGCCGTCTTGGGGCGGTCTTGGGGTGCTCTTGGACCGTGTTCAACGCCGTGAAGGCCGAGAAGCCGTATATGATCAAAATGTACGTTTTCCATAGGAATTTGAAGATTTTCGGCTCTTCGGCCCTTCTGAGAACTGCTCTTGGAGGCCTCATGGGCCGTCTTGGAGGCCTCTTGGCCCGTCTTGGGGCCATCTTGGGCGCCTTGGAGCGTTCGTTTGGCGTCTCGGGGCCCTCGTGGGCCGTCTTGGAGGAGTCTTGGGGCCTTCTTGGGCCGCCTTGAGAGACTTTTGAGCCCAAAGAAGCTCCGTGAGTCGCTCGGGCGGGGCCATGGGGGGGGGGTCAAATCGCCAGTTTGGGGTCCCTGGGGGGAACTATCTCACACGCCTAGGGACCCACAAGGGGTCGGCGGATTAGGCATGTATTAGAATTCCTACATATATATATATATAGATATAATTTTAAAACATGACATGTATTAAAATCTCTATATTTGTAAACATCCCATGTATTAGAAACTGCCCTGTATTGGTCTTTGGTCATTGGCTGTCGGCCTCCGCCCCCTCGGAGGCCTCGACCCCGGAGGGCCCGGAGGTACAGCGGCCCGTTCCGCGGGGCAGGGCTCCGCCTCGGTTCCGTTCTGCTGGCCCAGCCTGGGGTTCAGTCGGGCACGTCCTTCTACAGGAGGAATGTTCGGGGCCGGGCAGAACCCCCAACAGTGACACGTCGATGAGTGAATTGTCCGTGTTCGGTTCTCGAGAGGGCGCCGTGGCCGTTATTTTCCAGGCTTGCGCCCGCCAGGTTTGGGCCTCAGGTCGTTTTCACTAAACCACGTTATACTAAAGGGGGGTCTGTCCGTCCCCGAAAGTCGGGCATGTCCTTCGACAGGAGGAATATTCAGAAGCAGTGCTCCAAAACATTGTCTGGCGACGATGTTTTCTTGTTCAGGATTTTGCTTTTCTCCCAACCATCCTGTGGAGTTGGGTCCTCGTTTTGAAGAGACAGCGCCCGCGTCCTCCTTCCTTCCTTCTCCTCCCGCTGCCCCCCCTCCCTCTCCCCATCATCAGCATCATCGTCACCATCATCACCATCACCCATCATTCATCAGTATCATCATCCGCAGCATCATCATCATCCAAATCATCATCATCATCAGCATCATCATCATTTATCATCATTTATCATCATCACCATTTATCGTCATCATCATCATCATCGTCATCTTCATCGTCATCGTTGTCGTCGTCGTCATCATCATCATTTATCGTCAGCATCATCATCATCATCATCATCATCATCATCATCATCATCATCATCATCATCATCATCATCATCATCATCCCCACCACACATGTCGGCACACCCTTCACACGCTTCGTGGCCCCATAAGGAGCTCCGCCGAAGTTTCCAGTGGCGGAACTCGCATTGCGGCGTCGCCCCATTTTGGCACACCCCTCACACGTGTCGTGGCCCCCTAGGAGCTTCGCCGAAGGTTCCAGTGGTGGAACTCGCATGGCGCCGCCGCCCCATTTGGGCGCACCCCTCACACGTTTCGTGGCCCATAGGGAGCTCCACCGAAGGTCCCAGTTGCGGAATTCGCATGGCGGCGCCACCCCT